ATCCAAAAAACACAGAAAATGAATTTGAAATCTTGTTTGTGTAAAATGTTTTACCCAAAAACGGATGGGACATTACCTATTATGAAAATTATAATTAATAACAACATATGACATTTGGTTCATTTGGACATTACCAGGCCAATTAATGATTTATATTCAATAATATTTTGTTATGTTCTTAATTGGTATAGAGTAGTAGATATGATCGTGGTCTTCACTGGACAACCACAGTATAATGTTAACTAGGTTTGGTATTAATGGTAACTAATATATATTTACACATGTGGTTTGCTTTATGGATGCATATACTTCAACAGTAGATAAAATAGTTTTAGAGAAACTAACATGGTTTTTTTTTTTTTTTTAATTGTACCCCCTTATTTATCCCATAAAAGATTGAAATTTAAACCTTATTTATGAAAGATGGAATTCACCAAAAATCAAATAGGGATTTACCTGCAAAAACAAATAAATTAAGTATTGGTTATGATCATAAAATGTTGTGGTCATTACCAGTTGTTAGATTATAATTTGTTATTATCTTGCTATATTTGTAATGAAGTTCATGTTCTAATTCAAAATTGAAATAAGTCCAGTATTATGTTCCCTACTTAGAGCATTACCAATTTTTAGATTATAATTTACCCAAATGGTTAGTTGCTTGATTGTTATTGAAATGAACCGTAGTTTTTATTTATACATACATGGTGTGCCCCAAGTTGGCTTTTACTTATAAAAACAGTTTAAATAGAAATAGGTATTGAATTTTAATAAAAATAATAAATCATAATGTTAGTACATGTAATTAAAGAGCTACGCGGTATCTTTTTCAATTAAATCATTAATTGAAAATTTCAAATTAAATGAAATTCAAAATTGAAATATGAGCGCCCATAATTTTCGGTTGTCAGTTACAAAACTTGAATTTATACCCTTGACCAAATTATATAAACATAACCACAAAAAGGAAAAAAATCAAAAAAAAATATTAAAAAAATGGGGGATTCACTACATTCTGGAGGGTCATCTTCAAGTTTTGGCGGATTCATGATGAAATGTGGATGTGGTGTTCCCTCTAAGATTCGAATAGTTACCAAGCGTAACCACAATAGGAGAAGGAAATTTCGTGGTTGTGGAAAATTTCCAGTAAAGTTTCTAAATCCTTTCGTCAGTTAATATAATAAATATGAGTACATGTAATATACTTTTCATTAGGAATCTAATTACAAATTAGGGTTTTTAATATGTACAAATTGCAGGAGGCTGATTGTGGATTTTTCAAATGGTTGTACGATGATGTTGGTGGATGCGTAGAGTATGAGATGGTGTCAAAGAGGTTGGATGCAATTGAGAAAGAAGTTAAATCACTTACTATGAAGCTTGATGAGTGGCATTTATGCCACTCTTTTATCCTTTTTTCTCTAAGGATTCTCCCCTCATTTGCACCTGTTTGGCCCTTTTATAAGCATTTTTACCTTAGTTTTGTTTTCTCCTTTCCCTTCTCTTCTATCTTCCTTTTTCCTAGATTTTTACCTACTCTTTACTTTGATTTCCATGCTCGTGTTTTGTAGGAATCGAGGACTTCAAAGAGGAGAAGTCTTAAGTCGAATTGGAGCTGAAGAAAGCAAGTTCTAGAGGAGGTGTGGCCGAACTCAAAAAAGGTTCGGTTGAACCTTAGGTGTGACCGAACATGCACAAGGTTCGACTGTGCTTTGGAAGCAGGAACTTTTCAGATTTCAGCATTTTGCAGAAGCGGTCGAAGCCCAGAAGTTCGACCAAACCAGGAGCAGGGAGGTTCGACCGAACCTACCCATGGTTCGGCCATACCCTGATGTTCGACCGAACCTACCCTATGTTCGGTTTAACCTTTTGTCGACTTCAGCCAGCTGTGTATGCGACTATATAAGTCTCGTTTTAGAACGTTTTAATGTAATGAGTTTTACTTAGTTCTAATTTCAGAATTTTAGTTTAATCTAGAGAGAGAAAGTGGATTATTACTCAAGTTTCCTTTATTGTATTCAACTTTGGTCAAGTTTAATCTTCAATCAAGCAACACTTTAAGTTTTCATCTTTCATTAATCCTTTCTTTAGTAATCTCTAATCCTTTCTTTTAGCTTTATTTATTTGCTATTTGTTTCTTATTTTTGTTAATCTTATTACTTCATCTAGTTGTTATTGATTTCATTGTTTTTAATCATGTTTTGTTTTGAGTTTCTTGAGTTTGTTTTTAGTTTTGATATTATGTTTAATCTCCCTTCTCTAGGCTAATATTTTAGCTAGGGGAAGGGGGTGGAAAATATGTGTTGATATTGGATGAATGATGATGGTTGGATTGATCTCATGCCATAAATTGATGAAATACATGATTTTTGATAGCTTGAGATTATTGTTCCACTTTATTTGATGTTTTCTAGTTTAAATGCATGAAAGTGATTTGAACTAGATTAAGATCATCTTTATTTTAATGATTGCATGAGAATGAGTTATTAAAGTGGAGTTTTATAGATTGTGCTTCTTTATTCTCTTGATTTGATTGTAACTAATAGGATGCATGAAAATTATCCTTATTAGTATAGACCTCTTTCATTGATTTGCCTAGACTATTGCATGAGAATGAATTGTTTAGGTAGAATCTTGTGTTCTTTGGCATGTTTTCATGATAATCATTATTATTCCCCTCTTTCTAATCATATTTGACACCCCCGTATCCCTAGCGTAATTCTCCCTTCAATTTAATCATCGTTTTCTTTGCTTATTTTTAGTTTTAGTGCTCTTTACTCAAAAAACCAACAAAAACAATCCCCTTTTTACTCTTGCATTAGTGAATATTGATGCTGAATTAGTGTGCTTCCCTAGTGGTTCGACCCTTTACTTGCCACTAACTAGTTTGGTGTAGTTTAGGTAATATAAATGATTAATTTGATTAGGGTAGTAGTTTAACGACCTATTTAACCCTCGATCAAATTTCGGCGCCTTTGCCGGGGAAGCGGCTTGTTTAGCGTCTACTTTTGCTTTTGTTAGAGTCATTTTACTTGCTTTTCTTTTTGTTTTGTTTGTTTTATCATCCTTGTCATTGGTAATTGTTTTCTTAGCTTTGGTGAATTCTTAGGAGGTCTCAAGGACCACCCTCACATCAAAGTGACCACGAGATCAACCGAACCTTGAGACAAGTCCATAGGCTTAACCAAGACGAGGGAAGAGCTTTTGGTAATATAATTGATAGTGGGAGTGATTCTTACTCTTCAAGTTCACAAAGCGGATCAATGGCGAGATAAGAAGATGATGTTTTGTTTCGTGAGTTCGTAAATCTCGAGGATTATGAGCTTACGGGAGGGATTTTGCTACTCGTCACGGAAACCAACTTCTCAATCCATCCTCAATTTTCCGGAAGTGCAAGTGAGGACCCTATTGAACATTTGGACCGATTCCTTGAGTTGTGCGCGATGATGCAAACCAATGAAGTGAGCCAAGACTACATTCGTATGCACCTCTTCCGGCAATATCTCACTGGACGAGAAAAGAAATGGCTAAAGCAAGTAAAGCCTTACTCTCCCACAACATGGAGAGAGGTGGTAAAGGCGTTCTTGAAGCGATTTATCTCCGAGGAGAAGACCGCCGAAATGAGAAGTAAAATCGCATCATTTGAGCAAGAAGCCGATGAAAGTCTTGGTGAAGCTTGGGAGAGATTCAAAGAGTTAGTGCAAGCATGTCCACACCATGAGTACAATCAAGGGTTGCTCATGCGGTTTTTCTACAAAGGATTGGAGCCCATGTCAAGAGCCAACTTGGATGCGGGGGCGGGTGGTCAATTAATCAAAATCCCTCAAAATCAAGTTGAAGCCACAATAGAAAAGGTAGCAAAGAATTACTCTTGGGGGGTCAAAGAAGAAATGCTCCAAAGAAAGATGGTATTTACAAATTGGAGAAAGTTGATCAATTGCAACATCAAATTGATCAACTAACAAAAGGGATTTCTAAGTTGAACACGAGTGTGAGTGCAATTGCAAGCGGTTGAGCAAGCTCCTCTCAAGTTAACTCTTTCTCTTGTCAAAATTGTGGAGGAACGAACCATGATACAGCTTATTGTGGAGGTTTGAGCCCTAAGCATGTAGCGGCATACAACACAAGGCAAGAGGGATTTAGAGGAAGCGGCGGTGGAGTAGCTTGGAGACAACCACCACCCGGGTTCGCATCTCAACTTCAACAATGGAACCAACAAGCTCAACCTTCCTACAAATCCAACCCTCAGTATCAAAATCCACCTCCATCTCAACACCAAACCCCAAGAGGAAGCTATCCAAGGAACAACCAATACAACAATCAAACCCAAGCACCTCAAAGAAATCAAGAACAAGCACCTCAAGCGGAGCTAACACAAACTCAACTCCTTCAAGCCATGCATGCACAAATGCAAACTTTTGGGCAACAAATGCAAGAGATAAGAGCTCACAACAAGATGGTTGATTCACACCTAGCTCAATTGGCCGAGAGAACTCCTTTCAATTCACCATCTACTCTCCCTAGACAACCACAACCTAACCCTTCTCGCAACTCAAAACCCAATACATGCAAGGCAATCACATTGAGGTCGGGAACTTCCTATGAAGGACCACATGAGGGGGATGGTGAGGAAAAGAAGGGAGGAGAAGAGAATGTGAATGAAAATAAGGGAGGTGAGAAAGAAAAGGTTGATGAGATAGAAGGAGGTTCGATAAAGAAGAATCTTGACAATGAGAAAACAACTTCAATTCCTAGTGATGCTAGGAATCTTGATGGACTGGTTCCTTTTCCGGTCGTCTTGCGGTGAGGAAGTTGAATGACAATTTTTCAAAATTCCTTAGTGTGATGAAGAATTTGCACATCAATCACCCTTTCCTTGAAGTTGTGACACAAATTCCATCTTACTCCAAGTTCCTCAAAGATATTCTCACCAACAAGAGGAAGATCAATGATGAGATATCACCCTTCCACATCAAGTGAGTGCTCTTGTCCAACAAAAGATGCCCAAAAAGGAAAAAGACCCTGGAAACTTCACTTTGCCGGTGAAAATTGGGAACATGGAAGCTAGGGGCGCCTTAGCCGATATTGGAGCAAGTGATAGTTTAATCCCTCTATCTATTGCTCAAAAACACAATATAGAGATGATCCTTACAATGAAGACAATTCAATTGGCCGATCGGATGATGAAATTACCTTGTGGAGAGCTTGAGGATGTTCCAATTCAAGTGGGACACATCTATGTGCCTTGTGACTTTGTAGTGATGGATATGGAGGAAGATGTTAACACTCCTTTGATTTTGGGACGTGAAGCTCTTAAAACTTTGTGGGCGGTCATCAATTGCAAGAACAACACCATCACATGTGAGGCGGTCGATGAGAAGATTGTCTTTGAGTTTTCTAAGTTGCTCAAGACCCCCATGAAAAATGTTATAGAGTTGATGTTATGAATGAGGAGCTAGATTGCTTGGGGAGGCCTCAAGATCCAATGATAGAAGATCTAATATGCAAAGAAGAGTTCCATTCTCAAGAGGCAAAAGAATTTTTCATAGCAATGGAGGAATCCTCAAAGGAGGAGGTTGAACAATGTAGGGAATATTTCAAGCGTTAATCCCCTAGCTTGAACCCCACTGTGATCATACACTAAAGTACGATGGCGTCTAAAGGGAAAGAAGATAGAGCAAAAGAGTCGCTAACAAGTTTTTTTTAGGAACTTGTAAACCGTTCACGAGGTGAAGGTTACACCCCTTAACGATCCAAAAGATCGTCAACTCCATAAGATCTTGAACCAAATAGGGTTCGGGGATGAAGGTACAAATCTAACCTACAGGAGATTGAACCTGCCCTAATAATAGGCCTCTACTTTATTCTGATCGTATTCATTTGCGCTTTCTGACTAACATGCAATCAATAGGATTATCCTAAACTTGTTTATCTATGTTGGTTGAATATAATGCACAAATAAATATATTATTGGCGATCACTTGAATTATAATCAAATTTCTTTAAACATGCATAAAAGACGTAATCAAGCAATAAATGATCATCAAGCAACATCATAAATAATCATAACAGTTATTATAACAATTATAATCATAATAGACATAATTATCATCATAATAATAATAATCATAAAAATAAACATGTTCATGTTAAAGCATAATAATAGCAAGATCCTAGGCATGATACTAACAAGATTAATAACAAATCCTAGCATGTCACTAAGAAATAAACATCATATATTTAGCCCTAACATGATACTAACAATCATAAATATTAGGAATAACATAAAAGGCATCATACTTTTAATCATACTTAATATTAAAATTACCCTAGACATGATACTAGGAATATCATAATAACAACCTAATCATGATTTCTATATAATAATATCAATTAAACCATTAAAGTACTTACTTGGATGCCTCGTACCTCTTTTTAATAACAAAATACACACGTTAGTAACTTCAAGGAAAATAATAAAAACAACAATTAAATTAAATAATTGAAAGAGAGATTTGGGACCAAACCCTCAGAAATTAAACCTTTCACGTCTAGGGCGAAGGCATCTTTGAATATGGCTAGGTTTATCTAAGTCTAATGAATGCCGAATTTTTATATTTGAGAGAAGGCTAGTTTAGAAAAGAGAGAGAGAGTAATCAAGAATTTCTTGATGAGAGTTGGTCCATCAAAACGGAGTTTTTAGATCGTTATTTATAGAGAAAATCAGCCAAAAAGAAAAAAAAATCAAAAACAGAGTTCTGAAGCAAAAAGCCAGATTAGCGCCAAACGCTGACGTTAGCGCCAGACGCTAAGGCTAGCGCCAAGTGTAGCGTCAGGCGCTACTGTTGGCGTTTGGCGCTGACTAAGCTTTTGACGCGTTTTCTTAAAATCAGATAGAAATTGCCGTACAGGAGGATAAAATCGCATTTTCCTCAAAAACGTTCTTTGATTCTAATCAAAACTCTAAAAAGTCAACAAAAGTCAATTTATCAATGCTAATTAAATTAGGAATGAAAAGAACCTTCTAGAAGAATCTAGAAAACTAAAACCATTCCTAATTGCATTAGAAATGATAAATCCATATTAGGCCCTCCTATAGATCAATGGGCCGCATATAAGGCTCAAACCAGGCCCAGTTCAGTAATTTGGCCATAACTTCCTCAATATTCATCGGAATTGGGCTTATAATATATCGTTGGAAAGCTCTTTTCAAGCCCTATCCAACTACACTACTATTGGACCCATATAATGGACCAAAAAAACTAGATTGGCTGTTTTCTTAAAAATAGGTTTTCAAAAACAAAGAGAAGAGAAAAGAAATTAAAACTATCCGCAACACTAAACTTTCCACACTTTCACTTCTTTCGATTATGATTCGATGTGAAAGGTACTCATCACTAGGTTTGGTTTTGGGGAGACACAAATGGGTGTCTACAGAAGCCCCCACTTTGACCGAGTTTGGAGAAACACCAGTTTTGAAAACAAAAGTCAAAGTATCGATAGGGACGGAGAATGATTTAAATCATTCTGCGATCCTAAATCACTCTTGTAACGCCGATACCTGCAAACTAGCGTTAGTTAAAACAGATAAAAGAGTTAAGAAACGTGTATCTTGCACCGTTGAGCACACGTCTCTGAAAGTAACCGATTTGTTGCCGCTTTACTGTTTTGATGACCTCCTGCCAAGAGAATGCAATCCCGCTTGAAAACTGCTACGCTTGTAACTGCTTCCAATATAGAAGATTGCTTCGCTTGAAACGATCCTCTTCCGCTTTGTGACCATCTTCCACGTCTAAGGGAACATGATCGAAGACAACTTCACTTGAAATCACCTTCAGTTGTTTTTGACAAATTTCCAAAATCTAGGGAATGCTTTCAAAGATATCTTTGATTGAAGCTATCCTCACTTGTTGCGATAATTTTCCAAAGGAAATTACCGAAGACCTCCGCTTGTTGATCTTTAAAAGTTCGCTTGAACTTTGCTTTCGCTTTGCCTGTACGTCGGCGCTTTTGCTGCTTTTAAACCTGTATGTTGGTGCCTTTTGCTAAATGAATGAGCCAATATGTCGGTGCCTTTTGCGAATGAACCAGTATGTCGGTGCCTTTTGCGATGAGCCAATGCTTAGGCGCTTTAAGCTAAGTGAGACGATCTTTCATCAGGTCGATCACTTTATGCAATTAAGCCGATTACTAAAAATCGTGTCAAATTGCTTAGAGGGGCTAACTAGCGTACCAAGGAACCTAAAATATATTGCAAAAGGTTAGAACAACCGTACTGAGTGGCTAAACGTTTTGGCGCCGCTAAAATAACGTCAGCGCCACATAACTGGCTGTAGCGCCAGATGCTGGAGCTAGCACCAGGTGCTAAAACCTATCTGCTGACGCCATGGTCAGGCGCTTGGCGCTAGAGTCGGGTTTTCCTTAAATACCCTTCTCTTCTTCATTTTCGCTACTGCTCTTCGCATTTCGGCTTCGATAATTTCCAGAACTTCAATTCACTCGTTCTTGCTCGTTTCTCAACCAAATTCGCCCAAATTTGTTGCAAATCAAAGCTTATGTCATCCATTTTCCCGATATTTGTAAGTTTACTTCAAACTCACACCGGTTTTAATGAATTTTGCATGTGTTTATTCACGAATTTCTTGAAAATTCAAAATTTAGAATGCTTAATTCTCTTTGTTTATCAAATTTTATGCCATGAAATTGCTTGATTACATTTATATATTTCTTTGGGAGTAATTTGAGACTTGTTTGACTCAATTTGGTGAAGAAATGAACGAATTGCCATTGTTGAACCTCTTAAGGTCGGGAATACAATGTGGCTTGTTCTTGATGTTTTTGCTAGCAATTCTTGTCCAATTTGTCACAATAATTACTGTAGTATTGCAAGAAATTGTTTGATTTCTTGAAAAATGTCGTTGTGCTCAATTTGAATTTGTGCTCTGTTTTAGTACTACGTACTCTGTTTTTTTTTTTTTACGAACATAGTTACATGCGGCTAGGCGAACCTTAGATACTATAGAACCTTAATTTTTTAAAATTCTGCACAATGTAGTATGGCTAAACAGCGAGGTTCTGGTTCACGGTCCCGAGACGTTCAACGGGAGCATGAGCCCACAGAGGACGATGCCGAGCCGTCCACTTCGCTTGGTCGACTCCCCGAGTGGGATGAGCGAACCTTGTACTTTCCTCCCATCCACCATATTTCTAAGAGGGTGAGACTGGGCGTCACCGTTGGGAGGACGCGCTGTCATGGTTCCGGCTGTGACGGCTTGGGCGATCTGTACAAGATGTACATCGCCAGAGACGATCAGACGAGACTTCTATGGGAGTCTTGCGGTCTTACTGCGCTGTTCGAGACCTCCGAGGCAATGGTTGCCTTTAGCGGGGGTCATCATGTAGTTCGTGCTTTGGTGGAGTTCTTTTGGGACACCACCAACACTTTCGACTTTCCCTGGGGTGAGATGATGGTCACTCTTACCGACTTCAGTCTCATCACAGAACTGGAGTTTAGCCCCGTGCCACTGTCGTTCGACAGCGGGATCGATGTCTTTTCCCCTGAGGTCGAGGAGCTGTTGGGTCCGATTGCTATTCAGGCTCTAGCTGAGGTAGAGTCGACTCAGTTCAGTGCTAGGGGGATTCGCTGCTCGACTCTAGTAGCGGCTCTTGACGATGATGCGACTACCCAAGAGCAGCGGGCGTGCATCTTTGCACTCATCTTGCTGTCACGGACGTTCTCCCCTGACAAGGGTAGTAGGGCACTGCTTTACTATCTTCCTGTCGTCCGCGATCTACACCGAATCGGGACTTATGACTGGGCCAGCTTGGCCTACGCTGATTTCATTCGAGCGCTGCAGGACTTGTGTCGACATCGGTCCTTTAGGTCAAATGTTGCTTTTTCCAGCTTTTGGAGGGTCGTAGAGGTAAACCTTATTCCCTATATAAAGTTTAGCTCTACATTTAAGTTAGAATTTACTGATGACTTTAGCTTCTTATAGATCTGGTTCTACGAGTATTTCCCCTCAGCTGCGCCGGCTAGACCGTCGCCGCGCAGGTTTCCAGTTAGTGCTTCCTGGGGCAGCCGCCGTGTGGGGATGTCCACTGCATATGTCCGAGATTGGATCATCTCGGTATGATTCTTTTCTCATTTGACACTTTTAATGCCTTAGATAGATTCTTGCCTGATTGACGCATTTTGCAGGATCCTGAGGTGTTGTACCGACCGTGCATCGCTATTTCTTAGGGACCTATGGAACGACTGCGTACCTTAGGGAGAGGGTTGCTATTCAGCATTCCTCCGATGCCTTTGTCATTCCTGCTCCTCCACCACGTCACATGTTTAACGCCACGAGGTTGGTGAGCATGTCTGAGGGAGCTGGTACCCCTTGGCGATCTTACACGATCCCTGGGCGATGGTATGCGGAGGAGCTATTGCCGTTGTTAGCTC